CCCCAAAACCCCAAAACCCCAAAACCCCAAAACCCCAAAACCCCAAAACCCCTTAATATACAAGCTTTTTTGAAATAAAATAATAACAAGTCGATCGAAAATGGGAAATACCTGTTGAACTCATAATAAACAAGGAGAAAGAATTGACATTCAAGAGAAATCTATAGAGGACAAGAAAAAGGAGGCTCTGGAGATCGGCCAGAAAAATCCTGACAAAGTCATAAAAATCCAAGCGATCGGAAAAGGAATGATCGCAAGGAAGAAATATAAGGCGAAAATGGGTGATAAACTCAAGAGAAATGATGAAAATCATAAGGAAGAGAGGCTAGATTCCCTCAACCGGCCCGATGTAAACAAAATCGTCAATGTTCCAGATTATAGTAATGCTGCTACCAGGGCTACTGAAGGCAGGCTTGGTGCCTTCGTATATGACCAAGATGATAAGTTTGACGAAAATGATCTTATTGATAGAGGCCCATACGAGCTAGACAACGGAGCGATCTATAGAGGTCAGTGGTCAAGAGAAGGACTTAGGTATGGCAGAGGTGTCCAAATCTGGGTTGATGGCTCTAAGTACGAAGGCTACTGGAGAAGCGATATGGCCAACGGCATCGGCAGACTGATCCATGCAGATGGAGACGTCTACGAAGGCGAGTGGTGTAATGACAAAGCTCACGGAAAAGGTACTTATACTCACATGGATGGCGCTAAATACACTGGTGATTGGAGAGAAGACAAACAGCATGGAATTGGAATAGAAACTTGGCCTGATCAAGCTAGGTACGAAGGAAATTATGAGCATGGTAAATAAACACGGACATGGTAGATTCAATTGGGCTGATGGAAGCACCTATGACGGCCAGTTCTACGATAACAACATTCATGGAAAAGGAGTTTATACTTGGAGCGACGGAAGGAGGTTTGAAGGAGATTGGAAAGAAAACAAAATGGACGGCAAAGGAGTATTTACTTGGATTGATGACAGAAGATATGAAGGAGACTATGTAGATGACAAAAAAGAAGGCTATGGAGTATTCCAATGGGGAGATGGAAGATGATACAAAGGTCAATGGCTCAATGGGAAACAACATGGAATAGGCGTGTAAGTCTCATAAATTCAATACCCTTGCTTATTTTTTAATTTAGGTATTCCGCAGCCAATGGACTCGAAAGAAGGGGTGAGTGGAGAGATGGAAGAAGACACCAATGGCTAGATGAAGAAGGACAGCAAAACTCTTAATATTATAATACTTTCATTTCATGTAACTAGAAAAGGGGTTTTGGGGTTTTGGGGTTTTGGGGTTTTGGGGTTTTGGGGTTTTGGGGTTTTGGGG